TTATTTAATTTATACTAGCATTCTTATGATTTAAGAAATATTTTATGAGTGCACAAGTACTTGAGTAGAAACAAAGAGCCAATCAACAAATTGGAATCCAACTGGAAATTGTGAATCATACTCAGCTGATGCTCACCTTCCCCTACCGCCTCAGGCAACCGAATATCATTGCCAAATGCCAATTGATCATGACATTTTTAATCACGAACCTTAACCCTACCGGAATAACAAAAATCAGAAAAATGATTGTTTACTGTCTTTGTCGCTTCTGCGACGGAACTAATGCAGATCCAACCTGAAGCAAAATGCAAAATTGACGGAAATTCAGAAACAATTACAGTCATAGTTGAGAAAAAGGTCAAGAAATAATATTGATAATAAGGTCAGAAGTGAAAGAAAAAAGTGTACGTGTTTATCTCATATTCAATGTTAAGCATATTGATCAACCTTCTCTGCTCCCAGGAATATTGTATCAAATAGTTGACATTGCTTTTGTTTGTCAGTAAAAAAGTCCAATGTACCATTGTTTTTGTAGAGTTTAAATCACCTAATAGACAATTCACAAACGAAGACCAACGGTTTTGCCAAGTGAAACGAAGTCATACAACAACTTAGGCACACATGACATTGTAAGTGAATGTTTAATGTGCATTAGGTCCAAGCATTTTTTGTGTTTCTATTTAAGAGAAACAGAATCTTCTGTTGTAAACGATTTTTAAAATGAGCTACTTTGAGCTTAATTTTCCTAGGGATCCGAACTTTGAAATTAATGGGACCAAGCATATTCATGTTTTAATCCGCATGATTAACACGATATATTTATTTGTCGAAAATTGAAATAAATATTTGAATTCAAAGTTACACACTTCGAACTTTAAATAAATGAGAATTTGATTGAAATTGCTAACTCTTGCTCCACACTAGAAATCTTGGAAAATATTGTATGTGACCGACTATAACCAACGTCTGTGACCGACTAGAACGTATGTTTATTTTCAATCTGAAGAGACTCCTCCTTACGTTTGAAAGGCTATCTCAAAAGTTACTATTATTCTGAAAAAGCTTGTAAATATGTAAATGGTGAGGTACATCGAGCATTTACAACTTCAATTAATATATATATATATTGAGAGAGAGAGAGAGAGAGAGAGAGAGAGAGAGAGAGAGAGAGAGAGAGAGAGAGAGAGAGAGAGAGAGAGAGAGAGAGAG